TAGTTAAGCGTTTGTTTTTTTGCGTGTCTTGTGCTCTTTTCTCCATACACAGTAATTGTTTTTCTCTTCTCGTTACTGATCACGTTCCACATCTGAACGTTGGTGCTAATAAAGGGGCAGATGCTGTTTTTCGATTTGCCAGAAAACAGTGTCCTTCGGTTTGCCAGAAAACTAGAAAACAGTGTTATCACCGATAAAATTTGTACTGGCTGCCTGCTGGCGCATAACTTTCTTACACTCATCTCTTGGCCAAAAGAGACGCAATTACTAGCTCTTTTTAAACAGCACCGCTGTCTTTGGTCTAGTCCTGGACGTACTGGGTCTTTTCTTTACCGTTTTCTTCATTTATCGATTCGCAAACTCAATTTTTTCTTTGTACGTTGAATGCAGCATACTTGCATCATTTCATTTATTATGAGCTCTGTTAACAAGGACTGTGTGTAAACGGCTCAGTTGGTGGTCGTTAATCTTCGGAGATTTGTTCAGCCGCGCTCTCGAAATACCTCCCAGAATCAGGCTTTAGAAGGCTGGCCCAATAAGTGGCACATGAGGAGTGTACATTGCACCCTTGAAGCAGCATAAAAAGCTATATTTGCTTCCTTAATTATGTCTTGTTTAGTTACCATCATTGCATTTCTTTGAAAAAAGCTTTTATTACAGAATTTAGCTCCACGCTATTGATTTTTTTCTTTATTCGATGAAAAAGGGAAAAAAAGGAGTTGATGTGCTCTTTCGTGTCCCAGCGCTCAGTCTCATATGTGGTTCTTACTTAGAAATCTTGTTTTTTCTGTCGGCTGCTATAAATTATTAGGAAAGATTTGTGATAAAATGTGCTGATCTCATAATGATAATTACATGCTATTTTAATGGTATCTGATAGCTTTGATTTCACAGATGTTAAAAGCGGATGACCGGCAGTTGAACGCCTGGGTTTCGTTGAAGAAAGCAACAGCTTATCGTTCTGAGGCTGAAGAGCAGTACGATATTAAAGCCTATAAAAAGAAAGCGCTCAATGTTGCAAAAAAAGCACGGATTTTCAGCACTGAT